AGGCAGTGATATTAATAAAATGGTGGTAGAATTATCTTATTAAACTCCCCTGTTTTCCTAGACGACTAATTGAAATTATTTGTTGCGTTAATTTTAATATTCCTATTTTTCGTTCCAGAGAATTTGGGTAGTTTAATTACTAGGAATCCATGTTTTTTTTAATTTTTAAATTGCAAATCAAATCAGCATCAATTGGCCTCAAATCTGATGCACCGACTTGAAAGGCTATTGTACGAGAAAAGTACCTGAAAGCGCATAACCGATTTAGTTTGTCCACGTTTCCAAAAAAAATCTGTTTTGAAAAATCACCTTTCCGCCTAGAACAGGCCGCCGCCGGCTGCCATACGTGCTAACGTGGAAGAACATAGCATGATAAGACTAATGGCCACTAAGTTAACACTCGGCGTGGAAGTTGAAACGTCAAAGCGCACTTGGAAAGTGCTGGTTTTGCACACAGGAATCACTTTTCTAGATTGTTGCAAACGATAAGACCGACGTTGGAGAAAAATTGTATAATGCATCAGATTTACCATGGATACGTCACACGCCTCTAGGACAATAGTTGCAATTATCGATTTTTGGTAAGGACAAATTAATATAAAATATCATGTAGACTGGCTTCTTAATACGATTTGAAAGGAGTAAATCGAACTCGACTGTTTGAATAAATATTCGCACTATGAGAAAATGCTGGCTCTAGCGTTTCAACACTCTCCTATTTGGGGGTACCCGGGTAAACTCCATTCTCCACATTACTGCCACCCGAGAAACTCCTCCTTATCCCTCTTGAATTCTCACTGACAATGGGACAGTGGTTCCAAAACCAATATTGGACCAGCACAGGTGTTCCCACCGAGCCAAATTCACTTGACGTAATAGCATATTTTTGGCCTGTTTTAAAATCACTGTATTTCACACGGGAGGTGAATGGTGCTCAAACGTCTGCCAGTTCATATTTACCACATGCGACTATTTATTTACTCATTGCCTCCAGAACGTGAGCACCATCGAAGTTTGAAGGAGTGTTCCGTTTGCCCGTGACAAAGAGAAAAGCACTCAGATAACGGTACCTGATCCCTCGTTGACGCTAGAAGCGACCTTCCCACGCTAATACAAGAACAAGGCCAGAGTTCGTGTAGAGGGCTTTAATCACGTCAGCCACGTGCGGAGTGAGTTGTCAAAAGTGCACACTGATTCAAGTCAAGGTTGACCTTGACCTGATAAAAGGCGTGATAAAACACATGTTAGTGAATTAGTGTAAATAATGCCAGAAACCAACGCCGAGCAATCTTGGGGAAGCGTGGATCCCCAACAAGGAGTTAGTCCCTTTCAACTTAAAATCCTTTTTAGGTTGTCTCAAGTAAAGTGTCCAGCATCCGCCATGATTACCATGACAACCGCCTTACCGAAGTCCTCAGTTTTTATGCTTACATTGCGCATCCCACGGGCGGCAAATAAGGTCCGCCTTGTGCGTGATCTTGTGAGAGCGATTCAGTGGCGCACACAAACTGCGCAGACAGCCTAGTGTAACCGTAATACTAATAAAAACAAACTCTTCACCAACTTTGTCTCGTTTATTGGTGTGGAAGGACTAGTTGGCCCCGTATTTACATGCATAAAGTGGTGCTTCATCGGCAAAAACAAAACGCTACACAGTGGAAGCCAAAATGGTTGGAAACAAAGTTAGGCGCGTTACATAATTCACTGAAGGTGGTTTCGGCAAGTGCCGACATCCATTTGGCTCAAAACTGCAATTGGAAAAGCCGGCGTTTTAAAATGTGCATTTATGAAGGCATGGTTTTAATCTTAAACAATCTAATACATGCGATGTGGTTGCAGAAAATGACTCCCTGAATATTTCTGGCGTCTGCAAAGCTTTTGAATCAGGCTGGACCACAAATTGGGAGTTTGTGAAATTGAAAAATTAGAAGAATCTGGCGAAGTTAGAGATGACAAGTTAATTATGAACATTGGTACTTCTTACTAGAACCGTTAATTTTGTTGATGTGAACGGGATATGACAGCTAAGTAAGTGTGGAAACAGCAGTGAGTTGAAAATACACAGGTCCTGTTCCTGTCGATTCTTGGCATCTAAGAACGATGCAAGCCGAATATTTTCACGAGTTCTTGAATATTGTTTTGCTGAAAAAAATTAAACACTTGACCGAGAGCTATTTTTTTAATGGATTAGTGAGAAACTTGCGTCTGGTGCCTAAGCTTTCATGGTTTAAGCCTCATCAAAGCAAATTACGAGTAAACCAGAACCATTAAAATTTCAAAAGATCACTTGAAGGGGAATGATCGTGAAATTTATGAACCCCTATGAACCTTTTGGAATTGTTCGGATACAGGGATTGTCCAAGGTATGAAGTGTGATTAAATTATTGAAGGCTTGAATTAATTTAAATTGAGTCAATTTCATTAACATTCAACCAACCAAAGATTAGGGAGATCAAGAGAAATACGATTGTAATTGGACAATTTCTACCGATTTCCCTTTTCCTGAAAAACCGAGTAAACGTGCTCAGTTTGTATTCGGTAATTCTCGTTTTTTTATAGTTGGTTATAATTCCGGATTTCAGTAGGTAGGCATTTGGATTTTTTATCGTTAGAATAAATTCAGAACCAAGCTGTATTATCCTGAAGGACTTAAACACTAAATTGACAGTGTAGTGCAAAAAATATGAAGCAAATTTTAAAAACTCAATTCAATCGAAGAAATTTTGTCCCCTCAAATTCCAAGTAAAACGAAACTTAATGACAAACTCAGCGAAAAATTTTTGGCTTCAGTACCCAATTTTTCTGAAGGGGAAAAAACTTCTTAAAATTGGCCTCTACCCTCACCGCATTGCTTAAGTAAAACCAGTTAAGAAAACGATTCATGAATGCAAAATACGATGAAGCATGTTCCAAGCTTCCAACAGGACGTCGTGGCACTTTCATTTCTTGCAGTCGGTTAAGGTTTTTTCCAAGGGTCTAACTGATGGTGCTTGCCAGATTTGTGCCTTCCGTCTGCTACTGCCGACTATCAAACACAAATTGCAGTGGGTAGAGTTTGAATACGGCGTGCATTTCATGACGCAACAACCACTTAAATTTAAAAGACCTGTGATTCTAATCTAGCCATAATTAATTAAGCAAGACATGTGACCTCAATCTCATTACCTACATAATTGGTTGCCGCACAGTAAGGGGTATCAATTGCAGACGTAGTGGAATGTGCCAGTAACGTTTTAAGATGTGAGAAATTAGCCATAGTTAGGGAATAGAAGTCATGGGAGCATTTGCTCACTGAATTCGAGGCATTCTGGACAGGTAACAAGGTACTTTTTTGCGCTGAAAAGGTCGGTTGAAAAGTCACAATAAATGAAACCATTCACACTTTTACCGTGTGCAATCCCATGGCGGATCGCGCTGATTCACACTCCTTAATCCGGTCACTCCGGCCTTCGATAATACGCACCCCTTTTCGCAGCATGTCGTCAGCCGTGCGGATCCTCAACTCGATTATCTTAGGTTAACCTCACACCTAGGCATAAATACACACGCGCGAAACGCCACACACGACACAACGACACCAACTTGGTTTAGCTCTGAAGTAAATGGTTGTGTCCACATCTTCATCGCGGGTAGCAGGGAAGCGCAGTCGGGCCAGGTCCAACTCAGTTGCCCCGGCGTGGTTCAGGACCACATGCTGAGGCCTGTAAAAAGCCCACGGAAGCCTGCAAAAACTGAAATCTCAAATATTTTTACCTTCTGTAAGTCAATCCCACGGAAATTTTTGCCCATCTTTCTCCGCGTATTTAAATAATTTAAATCATAGAAAGGGAGGTGAATACTTCATTTAGGCACCCCATCCGAATGCCGAAACTTATATCAGATGCACGGTACTCTGAAAGACTGCCCAGACAAATTCTTATAAATGTTCTCTTTTGGCTACTAAAATGAATATACGAAACTTTATTAAGTGTAGTTTGGAACGAGCGAGTTCGAAAAGAGGAATCCAATGCTTCATTTTACAAGGCTATCACTTAACATGCGAAATTAATATTTACACATTCTCAAACTTTCATTAAACGACACGTGAACCGTGCTCGTCTACTAAGCATTGTTTCTCTCGTTCAGACAAACGAATTACGGTCAATGACGTCGAAAAGCAAAGCAAGCTGGAATACATGTGGGTTCTCGACGTTGGTATGGCACGGGTCTCTGGTGGTAGAGTAAAGCAAATGTGGAATGACGTTTAGTGAGAGATCCAGGCCACTAAAACAACGATTTATTACAACAAGCGGGTGACTGCTGACAATTCAAAAGCCTATGAAATTAAACGTACCCGGAATCGTATAAAATCGGAAATTTAAGAATAATACAAGCAAATAGTACAATGCCAACATGCAGATAATTAGACAATGGTGACCGTCAGTTGCTGCATTGTTATGTAAATTTAGCTTATTTCAGAAAGACCGGAAATTTCGGCAATTTAGATGTTAATGTGAAATTAAGCCCTTTAAACGATGTGCTTAAAGTGACGTCCGAAAACGCGTGGCTTTGTGCTGCGTCCCCGTGGCCGACGCGCACTAGTTGAGGTGATGTTCTTTGGGGCAATTTGGCGAAAACACCCGGCCACGCGCGTGTGCGCGCACCCGTTGAGGCGACCAATGGCCTGTCTAGTACGCAGCAATTGGCAGCATTGATTACTTTTGCCTGAGCGAGATTGGTCAGAAGTACTGCGAAGTAAACGTCAACTAGTTTGGTTTGGGATGAACGACTCGTACACGGGACGCCTCGCGTTCTACCACTCTTACTTAAGGCACCACCTCGTGTTCTCCTCATCACATCCCCCCCTTCACTCTAATCTCGGTGAAATCTCGAAACAATTATAGATTTTGCTACTCGAAGCCAATCGAAGATAATAATTGGAAATATGCTAACAGCTGGATAAAATATCTTCCATGAAGTAAGGAGAACTTGAGTTTGCCAAGTTGGATAAGCTAATTAAAATGCCCGGGCAAGGTCACGCGAACCCTGCCGATTCGTCGGTGGTTGGCAGTGAGGGTGGGCTGTTGACAGAGTCCCGAAAGTATTCAGTCGTCAACCCGCGCACTTCAATGGATGGAGGTGAGCCCTTTGCGTTTCGCTTCAAATTAAGTGGCGTTGTTGACACGAGATGTCATAAACGAATGTTGTACAATAAGTTCAATAAACCCAAAGTTTGTGGCGCCACATCAAAATAAGAATGTTTACTTTGGACTAAAATATCGCCTTCGTTTCTACGACCTCGTCGTGACATTGGTGGAGGCACTTTTTTAATATTCTGCTTCATTTTTGTCCATTATTTTATTGCTTTATATAAAATCATTCATTCCTGGATTGCATGATTCCAATATTTGTAAATGCGCCTGCATTTTTGCCCGTTTGGTGACTTCGAAAATGTCAAACTAGACGTGCTGGTCATAGCAATCGTTGTTGCCCTGTAATGTGAAGTTGGTGTAAGATTTTATTTATAAAAATGAAAGTCTTGATTGAGCAAAGATTAATTCGTGAGCAAAATTCTTGCTAAAGTTGGTATAAATTGCATTCAATAAGTAAAAGAAAAACATTTTCCAAAACATTGGTGATAAATGCATCACAATTTTACACTAGCTTCATGTGTACAAATGTGTCATTAACATACATACGTAAACAAGAACACTCTTGAGTCTTGCCATCTCCACTGTTTCTCGGAAACCTATTTATAATTTACTGAATTCCTGACAGACGCGAAGTCAACCAAGCGAAGTTAACTCTCCACTAACAAACACAAGAACTCAAAGTTTAACTGCAGGGTCTAAATCCTTTCACTTTAAAGCCGCACAAACGCTCAAAGTGTTACTTCGGTAGTCCTTGTGTTGCGTACTTTTAATATCTACCATAGATTAACTTCTTTATGTCAATTCGCGTCCTTGATAGCCTTGAAGTACCACGGCGTTTGCCGAAGTATGTTTTCTGGTAAAGCAAGACAGAGGGAGATGTTGGGGGTAAACAAAGCTTGGTGTGTTTGACGCTGAGGGAGCTCGGTGGGTTGCGGAAAAAAAGCAGTCGTCACAGTAACAAATAGTCTCTTTCAGACTTACCAGCAGCACAACATTTTAGGCTTGTGACAATCCGCACAAAAAACTAGACGAAATTCGAGGTTAAAAATACTACAATGTGCATCCCTAATTAGATTGAAAAAAATTCACCAATCCTGTACCGGTAACAATTTTGCAGTCACCTTCTCCTTTTGTGTAGCGGAATTCCTTACTTTTAATGAGCTTACTTGTTATGCGCAAACGTATCAGTTAAATGTTTTTTCGTTACCTAGAAAGCTCATACCCACAGTAGTTTACGAAATAGCTGTTTTCCAAACGACAGGCTGTTGCTAGCGCTAACAGTACCGAACTTGCACCTAGAGGCCCCCTCTGTAACACTTCAGAATCCTATCTAACTGATTATTGTTTTTAGGGCTAAGTTCTAGTGCATTTATTGACAGTTGGTTTCGTGCAGTGCTCTAATTCCCTAATCGATAACTTGGTTTGGAGGACGTTTCTCTTCTCGTTTCTATTACCTACATGGTGAAGTGGCATGAATTTCTTTAAATGCTAAATTCGGCAATTTGAATGTCATTGTGATTCGTACCCAACTGCGCTGTCTTAACAAGACTTACCAAAATAGGCGAACATCGAGGAGTCAGTAATTTGTCTCCTGTGAAAAATCAGTTTAACCTCAGATTAGCGAACCCGCCCGACCAACCTGCGAATTGCAGTTTGTACAATCGTCGGCGAAAAGAACCCATGCTTCCTAGGACAAAGTGGGATTCCACTGTACGGACTGTAGCAGTTGCTAAATACACAGGCACGACTTTATAAAGGAACTAGACGAATGTGAAGTTAAAAACGCGCATCATCCATCTTTCTTAAAGTGAGATAAACTACACATAGCAAACCATCAAAATTTGTGTACTTTTCTTAAATACGAATTACAAAAAAAACTTGACCGGGGTTTGTTTGTGATTAACCCAAGACCAAAACAAGTAATTGAAGCAGTTCCAATTTACATTTAGCAAATTGTTAGTCCATGGGAACTACATTTTCTTCCGTGTGCAAAGTTGTATTTATAAATAAAAGGCATTATTTTTTGCTGTCAAAAATTTTCAAAAAAAAACCAAAACAGCATTGCCTGAGAAGTATTTTTGTAGGGTTTGTTCGCTTTTTTCATCAATCCCGTAGGTGGTTTAGTCGATATTATTGTTTTTATTTATCCTATATCCTACTACCTTAGAAGGTGGTAATGTCAGCATTCTCCGCTTAATCTGCTTTAATTTCACGAAGTTGTCTCGAAATTAATTCAGTACTATCAAAAAGATCAGTCTCGACCGCTGCAACGAAAGCTTTATGCACATAACCAACGGATATTTAATGGCTGCAATAAATGCTTCGCCTTTACTGGCTCTTTATGTGAGCATTAAGCAGGGAATAAAATTCAAGACAAATAGCGGTTAGAAATAAGTCGTTTGCTCTCTTTTGTGCGTGAAGTTCTAAGTTTGTTTCCATCAGCCGCATCATTAAAAATTGATATGAAAAATCATGCAATTTTTTTGTGACTTTCGGGTACGGAGTGGCTTTGCTGCCATTGCAACACAAAATCCCCTGACACTGAACTACCTCTACAAACCTTAAACACTATAAAGTCAATTGGACCAGTTAACTTTTCACGAAAAATGAGGTGGCTCGGATACGCAAAGGAGATAAAGCACCATCCATATTACGTGTAAACTGTGTTTTGCTCTAGTGTGCTCAAGCTTACATCGCATGTAACTTAGAAAGTTTGATTTCGGGAATGAAGAGAGAAGGTAACAATCTTTAAAAGTCGTTATAACGGGGCACTTACTGTCTGCGTTCGCGAAGCACCCTTAATAATGCCTCAAGAAGGCTTCCTAGGCAGAAGCTAACTGGATTGGTTAGCCTTATCAATCCAATGGCTCCATTGAATTCAATTCAACAAATTTAATTTTTATGGCTAAGTTGTAACAAACTCACTTAAGCAAAACTTCCCCTGATAAAACTATTTTAAAAAAATCTAATTTGGCTGACTTTGTTGTGAATGAATTGAATAGGGATGTGCGCGGTTCCAGGCCGTCTATAAAGCGAATCCAGTGGGTTTTTTTTTTCGAAAACACGATTAAAATTAGGCGCGATTATACAATTTCAATCCGTTTATAGGATTCTTTTGTTAAGTCCATTATGATGACTAAATCTGGCCCTACAAGCTTACTGAATTCAGTGTTGATTTCGAAGCGTGATTTCGAAATCGTCTTTTTTAATAAAGAAACATTATGTGTTTAATGGGCAATTATTTTCATTGCAGACCTTATTTTGTGAGCTGCTATAAGGTAAATAAACGTAGCCAAATATTAATCATACTTTGCAACCGTCGTTAGTGATTGGGTGACATTATTTTGAAGTAGATCTTAGGCCACCATACTGTTGCTTCCTTCACGGAAATCGAGAGCACGGCTAGGCTTCGAAGAGTTTCGTGGTAGAAATGCTGATGATTAGCAGCGTATACCTCGAAGATCCTGCCACATTCACCAATCAGTGGTGGGTATTCTCTGTTGAACAAGTACCTCCGCCCGCAAGGCTGCATTTAATCCGCTTTAGTGTTTTATTTTTCTGGATGGGTCATTTGGATACTCGGCACAAGCTAATAAAATCTTGTCAAATTCGCAACTTCTAGACATATTCAATTAACAGTTTTACAAGTCCTTTTGATCAACTGTCCTGTAAAAACTCCATTATTTAATAAAACATTAACCAAACCAAAAGTACTCTCTGACAATTATCTTCTTAAACGACATTTTACAATGAATGCAAAATACTAACAAATGTACTAAATTTTATTGCACATTTGCTTGGTGGGGGCCAAAAATGTCGAATATCCAGCCATGGATTTTGAAACTGTGTGTGTGTTTGGGAATAATTGCCTGCCTCGAAGAAAAAGCGAACACTTGTTCTACCAAAGTATGGGCGTGGTCTCCTACACCAACATGACTGGGTGGCATTTCAAAAATCTTTCTTACCGATTTCTACGCTAAACCTGTCACTGGAAAATCTGGCCTTGAGCTCCTTGTGATTTAGTAGACTTAAAGAAACGTAATGGTAGTAGGACGCCGAGATGTTTATTTTTTTTCAATCTGACCAACCTTATGCGCAGAATCGCGTCTAGCCAAATTCACTAAGGAAGCAAAGTGAAAAATTGTGTGCTTATGCGTTTTTGTTCTCTGGAGTGTGTTGCATTGTGGGTTGATAAATCGATCCACTGCATTAAAATACCACCAGTATAGCCGTAGAAAAGGTAGACACAACTTCGAGATTAGCCTAAACATCATCGTGTCCTTAAAACTGCTAGTAGAAAGCGTCAGTTTGCATCAAGGGGTAGCCATTACATTAAATCGACTAATTAAATCTAGCCAAGTGATTTCATTCTGAAGATTTGTGAGGTCTAGGGGGAGGGCTTGATTACTTGAGGACGAAATTACTAGAATAACAACCAGCTAACACGCATTATGATAGTAAAAGAAATCATGAATACATTTTCCTTCGACAAATCGAAAGACTAGAATGTACCCATATTATGTCAAGTTTCGTTTTGTCTGTACTTCAATGCACTGATTAATTTTTTTTCTTAATGTATCATGTTAGCCGATCTAATCAATGGAAACGTCTTCGAGACATACCAATCTTTGGTTGATTCTTTCAAAAAAATCTTCGTGGTCTTAACCTCAATATTCTGTTAAATTTGCGTCCTATCGGTGTATTAACTTGTGGCCATTACTTAATGTGCCATTTTACCGGGCGCTACACATATACTTTGCCCTTTTTAGTTTTCGTTGAGACTAAATAGGAATGCAAAGTAAAGGTACTTGCACAATGGCGAAGTCAATAATGCACGTTTAGTCCCTTCTCTCCCACCCAATTGTGATGTACAAAAATTTAAATTTTCACTTTAATTGAATTAATCCTGCCATACTAAAAGTAATGTTTTTCCTTTTCTTCATTAAAGGCCCAGTGATGAAATCACGGGATTTGGGATGCTGCAGTTACATTCTACTAGCCCTCTCCTACTTTGTCATTATGCTCACCTTTCCAGTCTCCATATTTTTCTGCATCAAAGTAAGCAGCGTGTTTTTGCAGTAAATTTTTTTCCCTGGCCATAGCAACGTCAATGGTTCATATTTAATGCTTTCCCATTTCAAAGAGTCCGTATAAATCATTCTGTTGTCATGGTGGCCTAGTCACTAGGACGTTAGGCGCCCGCCACGCCAGGCGTGTGTTTCAGTTGGCCTTCAAATCGTTCTTTGTGCAGTACATTGTTGTCATTTTAGTTTATAGCAATAGCCTGAGTTTTGCAAATATATTACAGCAAACCAATCGACATTGTTTTGCCGTCTCCAGACAACTGACGGACACCACCACCCCCATTTACAAACGACTGGTAATCATACTTATGGGCATTGTTTGGCTGTCTCCGCAAATTAATGACAATGTTGCCATCGGCGCCGCAAAATTGTTATTCAAAGAGTTAGCAAAGAGTCCGGAATATGCGCTGGGTGAAAATTTTACTGTTCCATTGATGCATCTGCACTTATCTGGGCCAACCAAGAAGGAAATTAATTTTATGATCACGGAAATGTAGGAAAACGCCTTGAATATGATAGAAACGCCAATTCCAGTACTACAATAGTATGCCAAAAAACCAGACGGTACAACACATTTTCAGATAAATTGAAAGCTTGAAGCACCGAAATTGGCATCTGAATGTAGCATTGCGCATAACACCGTGGTAGTTGTTCCTCCTGTCGAAAAATTCTTACAGAAGATCGCTATAATAGCAACAACCAGCAGCTGGTTGGGCAAAGCAAGCAAACTTGAATAATGAGTAACAGAAAAAAGCCGAATTTAAGGCACAAACAAACAGACGTCACGCGCAAGCGCATAGCCAAACGCCAGATATCGTAATACAGGAAAGACTACACCAACTGTAAAACGAGATACTTTGCCAAAAATGGGATAATTAAGGGGATATAGGATGACTACCTCAGTCATTTAGTAGGAGCCAAATCAACCTGCAATTAGGTGATCCTGGTAAGGCAACAACGCGTGATATTCCAGCTCCTGGAATAAATTGTAGGCAGCATTCGGCATGTCTTTTAAAGAAATGTATTTAACAGTTTTTAAGCACACCGAGTGCATTCCAGACAGGTCAAGCCTGATCACAGCACAAATGTCTTCTGGCACTAATTAATTTCACTAGGTAGACTTAAAAATAATTTAACTGAACTGAAGTAAAAGGAATTAATTTCAGTCATTTCCATGATAACCAGGAACGTGTTAGATGTCCGCAACTCAAGTCCAGTCTTAGGCAAAAACGTTTGGTAGACATGATGACCCTGTTTATCTGTGAATAATTAGTCCCTGATGGTCTTTGTTAAGGAAGCATTTTAAAAAACGGCATCATCAACTTACATCATGGCGACATCACTACAAGAAGGCTAGTTTGTCGGTCGCCAAGTCATGTAGTTTGTAATTTTATTTAAAAATGTATTCTTCAGTTTATGGCATTGTACCTGTAATATGGATTTACGCCTAGTGACTACTAGGATGATAAATTATGGAAGATCTTGGACTTTTAAAGAGCTTTTATCGAGATGGAACTATGCTGTGTACTCTTATTTATGAAGATTTACTCAAGTTTGACGATTATAAGTATGCAGTTGAAGTAGATCTGTTAAATTAGAATATTTTCACGCGTTTTGACACACTGTTGCGAGTAAATGACCTAGAGAATAGATCAGATTTGAATGAATGAAATGTGTGTTTTTCTACATCCACAGCCTCTGTTTTGTGTCGGTGAAGCCTAAAGAGACGGCAAACAGTTTCAGGCAATTTCATATAAGATATTAATGCTTTTACGTTAGCGAAACTTGCATGCAACGCCTGCCAAGGACACTCCCACGTGACAGGAACTTGGCCTGTCAAAATGATACGTAAATATTTTAAGCTCATTTCTTTAAGAGGAAGTGAATTTTAACCAAAAATCTAAAACCAGACCGCATGCGTGCACCTAAAACATTCAAAATTTGGGTAAATGTGCCGCAACATCTTGGGAATTAGGCTTTTTATGCTTTATAATAGTTGTTTTAGATATACTATCCCTTCAGTACCATGAAAATGTGAAAACAATGCCGATTTGTTAAGTGGCAATCTAAAAAAAAACATTCCTTGGTGTTTTGAGCATTAGACAATTGCAAAATTCCTGCCTGGAGTTAACTGATGACTGAGGCATTAATCGGAATGTGTCGTGAGTCAAAATAACCTATTACGTTTTCTGAGATTGACAAGTGTATGGGGTAATTAATTTGAAAGTCAGAAAGTTCCATTTTCGCCACGTTAAGTTGCACGTATTTACACAAGACGTTTGCTTGGATCGGATTCTCGCTCTTATGACAAGTAACATGTGGTTTAGTCGAGTTGAAAATGGTGATCGTGTCGTGACAGATAAATTCCCTTGTAGGCCACCTTCCGGCACTGATAATTACTTAATGCTTGATTTAGTAATGAATAATTCACGAATTACCATGAAAGGGGAGAATAAGTGTTGAAGCCTTGACTGTAATTTGCACTGAAGGCAACTAGAATACATCCGGAAAATCAGTACGTGGGTTCTGCGCGTTTTGACAGAACAAAACATTCGAAACTGTGATTCACAGCTGTTTCTTTCGCCCAACAAAAACAAAACCTTTCCACGGACTAAGTCATAACCAAAGATGATGAATGGAGAGTGGATAATAATGACTACGAAAAAGAACTGTAGGGATCGCAGTGAAAGTGCGGTGTTCGTGGCTAAGTCTGAACTGTATGCGATGAAAGCCTTGTAATATCTGGTAGTTGGAATACAGAGGATTAGTTTTCACTAGCAACTGCACGTAACGACTTTCATTGAAGAGGAACCACGCATTAACTTCAAACAAGGAATTAAACAAAATGGAGGGCAGTTAATTTAGTTTTTTTGGCTTACACTTAATCATTCAACAGGTGAAAGACTCGGTAAATGTCATTATTATCAACACTTGAACTCGTTAACGTTTTCTTTGATGGAATTATCAGTATCTAACTAGCACAAGGCAGCATTTGACAACTAATTCACTTCACACCCTATTTGGGATTTAGTTTCCCTGTTTATACGCAGCTGATGCCAAAAGCGTGCTTTTTCGTCACCTGTCCGAACGTTTCCCTAGGTAATGTGGCTGTTCTACCTTCGACTTTAAATACAAAATCTAGAAAATTGACGATTTTTGGGTGATATAACTGTTTAATCAGCTTATCTTTGAGATGGGATAAAATAAGAGCCATAGTTTGTTAAACATTTATCCATTTTCAAAAAAAACATGAAGCAATTATGGTAGACCAATTATTGCTCCCGAGGGACATTTACCTCACTATTGGTTGCTATATCCGGTTGGTGTGAATGGAAATGTGTGACTGATTCAGTAATATTTTCAGTAACTTAGACCGTGGAATTCCCGACTGAAATAATTAATTCGTGCCAAACATTGTAACCTTTATGTAAAATCATGTTGTCATCACTGCCAGGTAAAGGCTTGGTGACCTTAGAAAATGCAGCAGAAAAGTGAATAAATAAAGAAGGCAGCTTGGACAAATTTTTAAAATTATGGGAAGCACTGGATGGGAGGATTTTTCACAACGTAATTAGTAACAATATGTCAGTATACAGAATACCTGGAACTGCTTCAAGTAAAGGATTTAATAGTCAGGAAGAATCACCATTGGGTCCATTAAAAGCAGTGACCATCTTTGCCGGCAAACATGGCTGCTTTAAAACTTGTTTTGCTGTAGTTCCTTTTTAACTTTACACTGTTGTACTACACAACTGTCAAATTTGCATATCAATTGTCACAGGTGACTAGAATAAGCACGCATTTTCTGACCACAAAGTGATTGATTTCAGACTTTAAATAGAACTAATATAGACAGAAAAAAAGTAGTGCAAACACTCTGAACTTGGTAAAGATGCAGTCAGGTCAATCGAAAAACGGGAATCATGACAAAGGTGGTTGATTTCTTTCCCGTAATTGAGTAAAGGCACATTTTGCGGAGTTTGCACTAAAATTTACGTGCTGGAAGTTGCACATTCCCAGTTTTTTAGCTTAACTAATTTTGGAAATTTCCTTTTGTTGTAAACTGATTTAATTGATCATCACGAATGCCTTTGACTAATATTCATCCCAGGTAATTGCAGAATACGAACGGGCTGTGCTATTCCGACTTGGACGAATTCTTCCAGGGGGTGCTCGGGGTCCAGGCCTATTTTTTACCGTCCCCTGTCTAGACATGATTCGAAAAGTCGACCTCCGAACAGTCACCTTCGACGTCCCGCCTCAAGAGGTAAGTCAAGTGTGCGTGGAAGGAAAGCCCAACTGTCCCCACTAAGTACCCGCTTTTTTGGAGCCTTCGTTAGGTGAAACTAGCAAGGTGAGAGCACCGTCATGGCATTGTAAATAACCTTGTCCTGACTATACAATAATTTTTACTTTAAAGCCTCGAATCTTCCCCATACTTTATTCACATATTCAGCCAAATGTTTTCAAACAAATTAATTTTATGATTCTGCGAAAATTCGTCCTTCCAGACATGCTAAATAAAGTAAAGATTAGGTACGAAACTCAATTGCTTCTAAACTAACACATGACAAGTTTTAATCTCGAAGTTTTTTACTCGGTTTAACTACAGAAGGTGCAGCGTAGGAGGAAAAGGCCAGCATCTAGCCACTAACTTAAAAATAGATAAAGCAGGTGGTTTTATGATTGAAACCATCGTCCTTTTGACAAGGCTTTTCATCATTTAAGTTTTCGTAATGACAAGTCGAGAAAGTCCACATTAGGGGAAAGTCGCGATTTCATTTCCACACTTACAGATTAACTGTAAGACAAACTGAGGACATTACCAAGCCCCGTTGGTTGACCTTGTGTCGATATTAACATCACACCATCTTGAGTGGATGATTTGAAGTATTTTTAATCAAAGCCTTCCATTCCAATTATTCGATTTACCATCTGCAGAACTATTTATAAAGTTAAGGTAGCTGGTCGAGAGATCAGTGAATCAGTCATCGATTGTATTGACTGCCTTTCCAATGTACCTTACAGGCATTTTTTTATCGAACTTTCGTTGTCATTAGCGCTCTACGGCAACCACTGTCACCCTTCAACTTCAATTTTCAATAAGTCAAAACTGTTTGAGCTGTCAATCCGACCCTTTTAAAATATAACACACATCCGACTGCAAATAACAGTGAAATAATCCCTTTGTAGAATTCTTATGTCACCATTATTAATAATCCAAGTATGAAGATGTTAAAAAAAACTAGCATTATGAACTTTTCACGCCGGTTTACTGTTTTTATTGTGGCCTACTTAACAAATTTTGCAATCCTCAGATAAGCCCCAATCTGTTGGCATAATATTAAAGAATCACGAAGAACAGGCCATGCACACTATTTTTGTTTCAAACACCATTATGTGCTGCTACTCGTGTGGTCTTGTGCAGTCATACTACGAGAAAAGGAGCTGTCACACGGAAGTTTGCTCTTGTCAAGTAAAAAGTACATCCAAATAACAGATAAACTTATTTTTTTTTCAACGCAGAGCTATATGTGTAATTAAGCTTTACCTTATCACCCTACACCGTCGACGCAAATGTTGCTTTCACGTTGATTACCTTCTGCGCAGTTGTTCTTGTAATTAGGATATACGCTAGATCCAGTGGAACGCTTACAAATCACAAAAATTGGTGAATAATTGGTTTAACTGCCTTCCTATTGTTCACTTTTTGGGGCTTTGACTTCATTCCCAAAAAAAGAATGTTTCTGTGTTTATTTGGTAAAGAATTAAAGTATTTTTGAGAGGTGTCATTGTGCTGATCTTTTGTGTTCCAATTTTTGTACCTTGTAAACAAAAATATTTATGAGTTAGCTTATTTTCAGAGAAAACGGTACAATTCCTTTATCCGGCCAACCCAAATGTGCCCTTGGTTTGAAATACCACAGTTTGTGGCTACAAATACAAATAATTAGTCCGTGGTTTAGCCACATTCTGATCAAAGATTAAGCGTCTAATTTTGTTCCAACTTAATTTTAGACTTGACCACATTAGTTGATGTTTCCCATCCCCAACGGACGTTGTTGTTTGTTGTTGCAGGTTCTAACTAAAGACTCCGTCACGGTAGCAGTCGACGCTGTGGTCTACTACCGGATCTACAATCCAGTGGTCGCCATCATCAACGTGGAGGACGCCGATCGCTCCACGAGGCTGCTGGCTGCAACCACGCTGCGCAACGTCCTCGGCACCAAGAACCTCTCCGACATTTTGTCGGAACGCGACTCAATTTCTGGAATGATGCAGGTACGACGCATCAGCGTTTCAGCTACCTTTCATCGTCTTATCCTTTGCTGCCGAGACGATTGTTGATACGCAAGTGGATAAGTGATAAATATGGTTCAGTTGATGGCCGGTTGCCACCCACACTTTACACTATCCATATTTTTTGAATAAATTACATCGAGTGCTGTAGTTTCCCGCAATATTTACTACTGTTTTTGTCTCGTTGTTGAAGACAAATTTCCTGTTTTATTGTTTACTGCCTCGTGTTTGTTGTCAGCCTCTGCCGCGAAGTAAAATAGCTTGAAGAAGGCACCGACATGCTCGTGTAGGTTTAGTTCTCACCAAAACTGTCGCCATTTCAGCAGGAAAACAGGGTGTTTACACAGACTAATTGCAGGTATTTTTTTTGGACTTACCTAAACCTGAGCATTTATGCAGGCTACGTTACTGTGTTAATTGAACGGCCTGTCTCGGAATTTTTTCAACCCAATCTGAATTGCAATTAAAAGTGTGGAAAATAATTAAATGGCCTAACTTGGGCCTTCCTGGCAAGATTTAATTTGGCTTCCACTAAGCAGACAAAAAACTGCCATTTTTTCTTTCAGACACCCAAATTTGCGGCTGCTTTTATAACCGATTTAACCACAGTAGCAATTTAAGTTAATTAAGGAGTTAATAATTGAATGACGCTACGCCGGAAAAACAGTAAATGGTATGGAATAGCAGAATAAAACTTCTGGCCTATGGATTTACCATGTCTTGATAAATCATACTAAAGCTCCTGCATTAAAAAAAGATGTTTCTTTTTTTTTACAAAATATGGTCTTCGAGGTCTTCCATTTCTTAAAAACACCTTCATTCGATTTTTGCTGGTACTTTAACTACAAACCTGATACTTTTGTGGTTCATCTGTAGCCCAATGATCCCTGACACCAGTTTTTTTATTCTGATTTGGTTTTGTAAATTATAATTTATCATCTTCACATATTTAGCAATTACTTGTACAAAGCCAAAAACAAGCTGTTTTTGCCACATAATTCAATCCCCTACTTTCCTTTATGACAAACAAAATAAACCAAAACTCGCTAATGTATTCTCTGACTCGTGAGAACTTTGTCCCATCGTGTTCTCAAAAACGAGAATGTTGTGTGTATTTACCTATAATTTGAATCCACGAACTGATGAGCTAAAGACTTTTTAGTTTGCCAACGAACCTCAAAGCACACGTTTTTGTGCAGCAGAGCTTGCCTGTGACTCTTGTCAAGCTTTCAATTTATTTAAAACATCTCCGATCCTTTCCACGTTTCTTACCATTTGTTTCCGTTTGTGTTGGTTTCCATGATGTAACTCCAACAGGGCAAACTATATTAGATGTCTCAGTCATTCTAAATGACTGATATTTGTTATTTCCAATGTAAATCACTTGAAGCATCAGCATTTGGCGTAGTTTTCTTCCAGCTACAAAATAATTCTGAAAAAAGAATAATTTATTGCTTTTATAACAGAAACCAACATAGCTGTGAATTTTAAAAACGGATACCACTTTATGCTTGCATTAATTGTTACATTAGACGTGTAACCGATCAGTCAATCAACTCAAAAAACGCACATTTTGAGTGCAAACTGACTAACTTCCGTTGTTTGATTTTCTCCACAAATACCACTAGAGTTGACGTCAAAACTTCGTTTAAAATGAAAAAGCAATGGGACACCAGAAGTGTCAAAAAGCTATGTGCAAAGTCTGGATTTATCTTTAAGCAGGATCGCGGAAAAAAGACACATTTGACTCCTAAACTCCCAAGGAATTGTCATTTAAAATTTCACCAAATTTTTTGCCCCGAGTTCTCCTTCAACTCCTTTTTTTTCACTTATTCAGCAGTGTAGTCAAAATTGTATGAGAGAATCCAAATGCGTGATGCGTAAAGCGCTGTTTGCACGCGTTGAACTGTAAGAATGAAATCCAAACGATAAGCAATAGGCAATTAGAGTGAGTGTTATTAGACTAATTCATTCCTTTTCTGCCTTTTAGACTATGCTGGACGAAGCTACAGATCCCTGGGGAGTGAAGGTGGAGCGGGTGGAAGTGTGAGTGTTGCACCTTTATGCCTCTTTCCCCTGTTAAGCTCTGATCGCACACTCACGTTGCCGCTTATACAGAGCCCGTGTTTTGGGCACTGGAGCTTACTACGATGGGTGTGGCTAACCTGTCAGAAGCATCTGGCATAGCCGTGCTTGCTTTCAGGCAAGGCGATGAGTGAGAAGCGAATTCGTGGGCTGTCGTGTCACATGGCTGATTTAACCAAAATATGGGTGGTAATATTTGTTTTAATGATGAGAATCGGTGCGAAACATGTTAAAGCTGTCAAGAGGCAACCGTTGATCCATAATTCTTAAAACAAGGGAAACATTGTCCACGTCCTCTGATTTATTTTCTTACTTCTTAAAAACGACAGGTTTGAAAGCCTCTAAGTGATTAAACAGTGTGTTGCAGTGAAAATCCTGAGACAGTTGTTTTAAACAACGGTTAAATGAGAATATGGATTCCATGAACACATGGTTCATTCTGTAAGCATTCCATCTTGAGGGAATGAGGTGTTTGTTTAGTCTGATGACTCAACTTTCACTACAAATGTCTTCCTGTTTTTGTCTTCTCAAGGTTCATCTTCAAACGCCGTTCCAAAAATGCAATAGCTGTCATAGATTTCATGTCATTTCCAATGGCAAATGAAGTAATGAAATGACAAGCATGGTTTTTGTCGTGCTGACTTTGCAAGAACGCATTGTGCAAATCAGTAGGCTTAAACCTTGTCAGTCTTGAATCAGGAATTGTAATAATTTAAAAGCATTTACAATTTTCAAATACGAATAAAGATCGGACTTTCGATTCTACCTAGTATCAGGCCACTCTTGAGAAGCAAGTTAAAGTGAAAAGGTCAATTTATCAAATCAATATCCTCATTCCGTGGAATTTTGTTATCTTTCGGAAGGAATTTAAAACACACTTTTGTTAAGACATTCGTAAAAAAATTTTGTTTGTGCTGCAAATCATGTGATTTTTGATAGCAGCTCGCTCCCCACCATATACCGTGGCCTGCAAGAAGGGGTATACAAAGTCCTCGTTAATTTAGGATGGGTGCAAGGATTAAGAAGACGAACGCGCGTAGCCAATGCTAAATTCCATTTCTAAAAATTTAATGTGTATTTCATAATGCAAAAAAACTGCTCTCCTTTTGGGTACTGATAACTCTTAACGCCAAATCATTTATCAGGTTATTTTTAAGTGGGTGATCGGTGGCTGTGTGCGTGCGCACCGGCGCGCGTACAAGAGATGTGCCAACAAAAGTAGCTAAGGCAGTTAATAAGCGCAGCCAACAGAGCAAATGGCATGCAGATAAAAAGTTCCTTCAGAAAGCGGTAATACTGGCAAAGGGATTTGTATCTCAGAAGCCCACAATATAAGATCTTAATCAGAGCCTTTATATGACTCAACGCTCCGTGGAACAATCATCTTAGCATCGCTAAAATATGTCCTAGGTTAGGTTTCCTGAAAAACTTATGGGTAAATTGTGGAGAGTGCATCTATAAATTAGGCTAAATTATCTGTTTAACTTTAGGAAGGACGTGCGTTTGCCCGTTCAGCTGCAGCGTGCGATGGCAGCCGAGGCGGAGGCCGCAAGAGAGGCTCGAGCTAAGGTAGGTATTTGCTGCCACTTCGATTAAAAGCTCCCATTTTCAAGCACAACTGCGGCACATCATTAACCCGAATTACGTATCTCTAAAGGTTCTTGGTAAATCCGTGCTCTAAGGCTTCAAATTTTCGGTTTCTCTGTTCAGTTACAAAATGAACAGTTCGCGTGGCTAATTGGACAGCTTTTGTGTTGTTGAGACGAGGCATGATGTGTGGTACTCACAAAAGAGAAGTATGGTCGGACCTCATGAAGACGCTCGATGAAGTGGGGTCTTGTGAGTGTATATTCACATACACTCGGTCTTGAGTGTGCGTAGAATTAGAAGACATTTCAACCAATCAGGTTTGGGCAGCAATTCAATTCGTTGTGTTCCATATTCCAAGTTAATGCCTTTGCGTAGGCATTGTACCTTGGCGCTTGTTACAACAGATAGTCTTCCACTCTTCTACTACTTCTAACTTTTAATGAGACGAAGGAGAGGTAGCGGAAATACGGCCAAATTTTGCGGTTTTTAGATTCGTGACATTTACATTTTCATAGTATGCGTAGAAACTTTTTTGTTGAAGACGCACGGTGGACGATTATTCACCTGACTTCTTGGTAAAAGGGATTTGTTTTCATAAGTTTACGTCAAATGGAAATTTAGCAAAAACACAGTACTTAAGCGCCTGTTTACCGCATTATGCTTTTCAAAATTCTAAAGGTATTGCGGGGATGAAGTTATCAGGCCATAACATCTCGTGCTGTGGAAGTACAGATAGCGTCAAAAATCCTTCACCGGTGTCAAGTCAATGTGACTGTTGCGTTGAACTGCAACTAACTTTTTAAAAGAAGCCAAATTTACAGAGATGCGTGTATTGGAAATTATTTTTACTTTCATGAGTTTGCACTTTTGACGGTTGCGTTGACAAAATAATGCGTACATTGCGCCACATGAACTTGGACCCCAGCAAAATCAGTTCTTTGTTTTTGTGTTTTTGAACCTGTGTCAGGGTAAAGTATGCGCTTTTTAGGTTGATCTATTTCGGAAATGGCGTCTACAGGAGATAGCGAAAGGTGTGACAGCGCCAGGAATGGCATGTGGAACTGACAGAGAAAGTGGGAAATTTCTGAAATTGAATGTGATAAGTACTCAGATCAGACTTCATGTGTTCATCATTGGATTTTGATATCCACAGCAGGATCCCATATGTCAATTGGAGCGCCGAATTTGATAAATAGCATGACACAGTGCGTCTTAGACCTCACCAATATTTTCTGAAATATTAATGCTCTCGGCTAAACTGTGTGCAAGTAATTTCGCGGGGGGATCCTAATCTATTCTTCAAACTTGCCATCACAGTGGAATTAGGTTTTTTAAATTCTACTTGTAATTTGCCAACACAAATTGGATTTCCGTTCAAGGTTATCGCAGCAAGAGGGGAGCAGAAGGCATCTCAGGCGTTGAAGGAGGCTGCTGACGTCCTAAACGAGTCGCCCTTTGCCATCCAGTTGCGCTACCTGCAGACCCTAAGTACCATATCCGCCGAGAAGAACTCGACAATAATTTTCCCACTGCCAGTCGATTTGGTGACACAATTTATCCGGAGGAAACCCTCACCAGCGCCTGTCTCGGTGACCCCGTCTTCCGCAACCTCCGCTGTCGGAGGTGGCTGCGTCGACTCGAGCGACAGCAGCCGCGCTGGAGGCCCGGCCGGCAGTGCTGGACGCGACCAACGCGGCTTCCCCGCTCCCCCCTCGGCGCGCCGACACCACCACCTAATCGGCGGCTTGTCGTCGCAGCAAGCGACGGTGACGAGCGAGGCTTTCGCCGTCTAGTCAGTCCCCTTCGATGAGGTCGCATTTAACACTTATGCATTCTTGTTTGTTTTTACTATGGCTGATGTTATTTACAACCGCGCCCACCCCTACTGTCACACCGCCCTTTCTCCCTCCCTCCCTCCCTCTCTTCCTATCATGAACGTTTTATTCCATTTATAGCCGTTTACCTGTCCAATCGTGTTAGTGTACGTGTGTGGAATGACCATTAGACCTTAGTTGTGGGTGTTAACCCACAAGTACTGTAACATACAGTAATTACTCAGTTTCTAAGTAATTGTGACTTGCATCACCGAATTCAGAGCTCGGGTTGTGGGCATTATTCTACTTTTTTTTCTATTCAAGTTGGCTAAACTGTAAAACCCAGCTTTTGGGCATTTAAATCACCAGCAGGTACATATTCAGCTACGATCAAGTTAGGTATAGCCAATTTGAAATAGCTTTCGCTAGACGAGGTGCAACCAGATGGAAGGCTTGAAGGGGACCCTTTTGTGTTCATTCAAACGTAGTCATCATTTTGAATTTTAGTGAGCCACACGTCATCCACCCAAACCACATCCTGCCAAATAGAAATACAACTCATTTGGTTAGTCTGGGACAGCTTGGCACAATTGTGAATTGTCCTTGTCAGGGAGTTTTGAAAATTGAAGTCAGACCCACATGCATATCAAAAGCTTTGAATACATTGAAGGTCCCTTCCTCTAAGCGAAGCGGTCACCGAATTAAACCGTAGTATGCCGGTCTAAATCAAAGCACTTCTAAGTGCCAGTTATCCGATTGAACCTAGGCATAAAATTTACGAGCTCAGTTGCGTTGACTGTGTTGGGGAGCGTTTTTGACACAGCATCACCCGGCGTCACACAATGTTAATAAAATTGATGGCTTTTAATGTGCTCATCAAAAGGCAATATACTGCACTGCAATAAAAAAGTTATAAGTGCTTTTCCAGTTATAAAGGCTTGTGAAATCAACAATAGGTGATTTCCGGTAAGAGCTTTGACCTTATTTGAGGTAATAGAAATTAGTGGCCAAAACTGCTTTTAGCTTAAGCAATACGCACCATAAGAACTTAATCAATGCTACTTTAACTGTCTAGTGATGGAAAGTTTTAGTCAAACTGAAATGCAATAAAGCGGATAAGTGTGGATTTGTGAAGGACCTGCGAGGGAGTGAGCACCCAAAGTGAGAATAACCCAGAAAATGGCCACTCTCAATTTTTCTGCTTTGTTTTGCCCAAGAGGTTGTTTTTATTCACTTCACAAGCGCAAATCTAACAATATGCGGCCTTGAGCGCGGCTACTTCAACCCCACCAATGGTAAATGTTTAATGTAGTTGAGAACAAAAGGTTTATAGACATTTCTAACTGAAGTTAAAAACTATTTTAAACATCAATTCACCTTTGAATTAATGCTTTATTGAGTCGAGACACAGAGCTGGATAAGCAAAGCAAGGTTTTATGCTGTGAGGTAAAGGAAAGTGTACTGCTAGTGCACACGGGTACTCAAGTGCTTGTTGGTCGTTGGTGACAGCATTCATCAACATTTCATGCAATTAAAAAATACGCCCTGAAAATTATGAATCGCTATACGAAAGTGTGTGACGTTATTTAAGTCAGTTACGATGGCGTTTGTATTAGCCAGTGGATTATTGTCTCTGTACGGCAGAGTTTACCAAAGGTTGTATAAAGCGGTTTAATTCCAAGCCCTTCCCTCTACTAATCTCAAAATCCACTTAATTAAAGTTCGGATACTCAGCAAACGTGACTTTGTTGCTGGCACCCAGTCACGTTTGCTGAGTATCCGAATTGAATGAGGTTGCTCTACAGGTGCCATGACATCGGTTACCACCACGTGGAGTGCGGTGAAGTCCAGTTAATTTCGGATGGAAAGGAGATCTCACAGCCACCCCAGACGTCTCCCTTAATGTACCTCGTGGCGATCAGCACCACCTCCTCTGCTGTCTGACTGGTGCAAGCACTGAGAGGATGGCTCCTAGCCGTAAACACAAATGCCACCCATTAATGCTTTATTCCAAAGGTCAACACCGGCAGTTGTGAAGTGGACCATCAGCGATGGCGCATGAGTGAGGCCTGCTTTTTGACCTGATTGCGTCACTGACTCTTCACTTTTTCATTGGTTGCTGTTACCAGTCGCCTGTCATCCGCTCACTCATCCTCACACAAATCGATAGGTGGCTGGCGTAACTGGTTTTTAACCAGAGGGTTGGAAGGTCGTGCTTAGAATGCCGCTACGGCTGACAAGGACATTAATAAGTTGCCTTCATATTTTGGTTTTCACCTTTATACACTGAAGGCCCAAATACATTTCCAAAAAAAGCCGTTCTTACTCAGTTTTGATATACACACAGGAATACTACGCTTTGAAATAAAGGTTAAAATCTGCATAACATTACGAGCGCTAACAAAGGGTTACTGACCCGCCATTTTACCACCATTTGGATGAAATAAGGAAATTACACACCGTAAATACGCTGCTTAATGTATGTAATATTTTTGTTAAAGTAAAATATTTCAATCTTGGTACGGATACCGACACATAGCTAGTGCCTTTTGAAACTGACAAATTAGCAGGTCTATAAAAGTACGTTCAGCAAGAACTTTAAGAGCTGGTTTCAGTTCAGTTCACGTGCGTTGTTTGCAGGCAACTTTAGGACCGGAACAAAGTTGTTAAACCAGTGAGCTGTAACAAATTTCGAGTGTATCTTCTGGTTTTAATTTTGACATTATCATCTCTGAACAATTAAATACCCTGTATTATTTGAGTTAAATAAGTTGTTGAAGGGGCTGAAAAAAAAAGAAACTGAAAATATTTCCAAAATTTAGTGTTTTCTTTCATTTTCAATGACATAGACAAGCAGCGATGACGTCTTCAGCTGATAAGCTTAACCTCCACGCCATCCATTAACTTGGTTAATTAAGGTGCCTCTAAGCATTAGAAATGGTTCGTTCTACTTTTCCAAAACCAAAACAAACGTAAGGACTTTAAACACGCTTGATCTAGAACTTTAAATGACCTTTATGGAGGCTTTGGTAAACAAAATTTTGCTGTAATTTAAGCACCCAAAAATACGGGTTTTTCAAGACGTTTTATGCTATTTGCAGACATTGAAATAACAGTGTGTTTGCAAAAATACATCTTAGATTTTCATGTACTAAGCAACTAAAATCACATTTTTTATTTAAACACTAAATCTAGTATCTGCTAAAATGTGTAAACCGATTATACTAAGCTAGTTATCGGTTATCAATGGTCAAAGTTATACTGACATCATGTTATCCAGGAACAAATGTTCCCCAAATATAGTATTATATACTTATTTGCCGTGTGTGGGTGTGCTTAGGGCAGTAGCACTTTGTGATGGCCGGTGGTATCCTTTGGAGCAGGCATAATTGGCATTCCAAAGGGTTTGTGTTTTATTGCGTGACTCTTTTATCAACCAGAATGCACAAACATTCAGTATGCACTTCAGTAAACCGGAAACTTCTCACTTAAAGCGTCAAACAGCGATGTCCACTACGGCCGTGGATTTGAATAGCCAGCGCATTGCGAATGACTCCGTCAGGTAAACCTGGATTTTGTAATTGTGGTTTACTGAGGTCCGACTAAAACGGATATTCACCTCTGGATTTACGACTTAATTTTCGCTTGTGGGCACTTAGGTTTCCCATCAACTTTGTTTCCGGTCAGCCCGGTGACGGCGGATCGTCACGTTTGCATTAGGCAGTCTTTTCAACTAGCAGGAAGTCACATCGAACAGTTTTAACCAGTAGACACTATAGACCTTTGGTTTTGTTGTAGCTACATTTGAATAAATCCGTAAACCCGATCACCATTTGGATTGGCTTTACGTGTTATCACCTCAACGAGGATGGTCCACATCCAGTGTTACTAAAACAACTTTTCATTGGGAGGCGTATCCATGACCGACCAACTGAGTCTCTTCCATATAGCCTGCCTGGCATTTAGGCTGGTCTCTAAAAAAAGGCAGATAGCCCTTCCAATTGAGATGGGGCCTTTTGACACCGAACTTGAACTGTGCTTTGTGGTGTACAGGATCTAAAACGACTTACAATGCTTAAGGTCACGAGTGTCACGATTTCCGGATAACACTAATCAAAGCTCAAAACTGCGCCTATTTTCAAGTACACCAGTTCGATGTTTTGCAAACGCAGGTAATGCGCGTTAATATTTAGCAAAAAATCCCTGCAGTTTCCCAAGTTCGTTAGTAACCTGAACCCTTTGAGGCAACGCTCAATTTTGTTGTCGATTCTGGGTTACAAAAGTTGAGACTTTACAAAGGCTTAGGCACTGGCACATAGAAGGGAGTAATTTGCAGTGTCTCGATAACTGATGTTGCTCCACAACAAGATAACATATGTGCGTTCGCTTGTCGGACTAACAAACCTTCCTTTAGACGAATAGTGGATGATTTGAAGTGTTGACTTGCCCTAGATTTGACCCCTGAAAAACTGCCCTTAACAGGCCACTTTCACACTAGCGCTGACAGGAGTGGTGAGAGGTAGCATGTATTTACCTTCAAAAACGGACAAATTGAATCGTAAACGACGGTAGTCCGAGATTTATGGGAATCTGTTTCAGCTAATAATGTGAGATGAAAGATAACCGGACTTATTTGTACCCTAGAAATTTCGGATGTCGTTTTAGTAGTTTTTGAAAACGCATTATTTATAACTTTTTAGCTCATAAACACACTAACCACATATCCGTTGGATTGTGTGTTAATTTAGAGGCGTCACGAACTGCGCACATAGTATTTTAAAAACGAATCATTTTAGTCTGACCGGATTATCACAATTCACATTTACAAACATCACGCAATATTTGTGTATCCTGACTCAGCCACAGTAAGGTTGCTAAATGCGCAATTAAATCACCCAGTCAATTTAAACAAGTAGTCTTCATTGATGTGTAAAAAAATAATTTTAATCGCTACAGCAAGTGCCATTGCGCATCTCCGC